AATATCGACCGATATATCGGATTTAAAAATAAATCAATAAATATATGTATCGGTATCGACCTTCAAAATCCTTTATCGGTCGGGCTCTATTCAGAAGCAAGAGCAAATGATTTGTAGAGACCGTGTTGTAAGACACAGCTGAACAATTGCATTGTTTTTAGAACTAGATCAGAGACAGTGACTCATAGTCACACGTCTGTTCTTGGCAACTGTGTTTCTGACCGGCACCTGGTGTGCGCTAGGAAACAGTGTACAATAGGCATGACTGAAACAGAGCGGAAAGCTCAGTTTTCTGTTTCTCTGTCATGTACTGCTTGTTTGTCATCTAATTCATGATCTTAATCATGGACATGAATCTTTCTCAGTTGATCTGAGAGCATTGACCACAAATTAAAAACTGACATTGTGAGTTTTTTTTTAATACTCGCATCGCACACTTGTTTTTTGTCAGTTGAGAGAAAATTGCAATGTGGGCCCGTTGTTTTGTGAAAGCCCATTTTTGAGTTTGTTCAGGGAATTTTTGGCCCTTAAATATTTCACCTGTCTAGTGGCTTAAAAAATGGCTGATTCTTAAACAGAATCACTGTTCGCATTTAAAAGTTTCCAATGTATTTTTAGTTGTATATTTAGTTTTAACGTAACAAATGAGTCTGGCATGTTCCAGCTGCTTCTCTACAGGATTAATACTCCTGGAAATGTAAAGCAACACTAACTTTGAAAGGAGGAAATATACGGTAGTTATGCGGCCTGATAAAGCCTGGTGTTCTGGATGTTTCTAATTAGCTAGTGTAAAGGGATTCTCTAAAGACACTGAAAAATGTATCTAAATGTTTTTGTTGTTTACTCTTTGTACCTGTTGTCTACTTTATTAGCTGTTAAGAACAATAACTCTATTCTGTCGTATCTGTTTTTCGAACCAGCTGGCTGGTTCATTTGATGTTTTTTGTGGGATTTTTTTTTTTCACTCAACCTTGATTCAAAATATTTCACTTGTCTTAACATTTGTGATGGCATGAAATAATGACCATCTGTGACTATTGTTCTCTTTTCTTTCTTCTCTCTCTTTATCTAACAAAGACTTTTATAATGTTGATGTTTTTAGTTTTTGACTAATCTGTGATCTTTCTAATGTAGATGTGTGTGTGTGTGTGTGTGTGATCTATTTAAGACGCTGTTGCAGGGAGATGACTGGGGGTCTGTATGCAAAAGTTCATGTTGGAAGCAAGACAGATGATGTAATTTATTATAAGTTTTACATTTCAGTAATCTGGATCCCTGTGATGTTGTTTACTTGACACATGTTCATTCACGTAAATCAATATATTGTATTTTATCAGTTTGAAGAAAATAATTAAAAAGACCAAATGGAACCCAGCAAAATATTTGCATGTGTGAACTGTACTGAGTGGCACAGGCTCCAGGATACTGAAAACCTTAGATAAATATATGTATATGTTCACTACAACAGCACTTAAATACTGAGGACTAACTAATGTCACTCACACATTGTCCAGAATGTTGATCTGCATTTCTCCTTTACTATCGTAAAGGATTTAAGCTATGCACTTAGAGAAAGCTTTTCATGATAACATCCATTTTAATAACAGCAAAATTCATTAGAAAATAAATTGAATTCTGGAGATTTCTTTAAAAGTACATAACATATAAATGAATTTACCACTAAAGTACTATGGAAATAAGTTTATTTTTCTGATTGTGACAAATATTTATATTTTAAGATCACATATAAGCAATGTGGTGTTTCTCCAAAGTTTTCTTGGTCTTATGTTTGGTTTCATGCATGGAGAGGATACTTTCTAACGATGGACCGGAACTATATTTCTACATTTAAATGTGAATGTTTCTTTCTTCTTTAATGTAAATGTCTGATGAGGTTGTCTATATGTATTATGTTGGGAAAATAAAGATAATGTTGGATATTATAATACACAATCTTTGTGTTATTTATTTAACAACATCCAGCTAATTATGAATTATTTACTTGTGAATTGTGTATTTTTCATTGCCCGCATACAGAATAAGTGTCCAAATGAAAAATAAATGTTCAGTTTAAAACTGTAATTTTTATTTACTAGAAATGAAGCTGAAACTAAATGTGTCCAAACTGTCCCATTGTGTTTAGTTTTTGAAATAGAATTAATTTACTTGCCCCCAGTTTCATAGACGATACATAAGCCTTGTCCCAGACTAAAATGCATGAGTTGTTTTAACTGAAAGCAACTTTCACTAACATATCTTAAAATATGTCAGTGCCATTGTGTTGTTTCAGTAGTACACCAGTAATGTTTTTTAAAAAAGCATAAATATATGAGCACATTTTTAAAAGATACTATCCAAATTAAACTAGGGCCTAATCCTGGCTTAATCTAAGCCATGCATGTGAAACCGGATTTAAGTTTATTATTTTTAGTTCCTCTGAAATTAATTTAATATTGTTGAATATTAATTTAACATTTAATATTCAACAATATTATTGATCTATACTTTCATGTTATCACTGTGAATACACTGCTGCTTTGATGCAATATGTATTGTAAAAAGCGCTATATAAATAAATGTGACTTGACTTGACTTGACTTGAAAGTTTAACTTTATGTGACACGTAGACATAATAAATTATACCAACCCACTGATGCAGGGACCAGTTCCGTCATTTAACATCTTTTTCTTTTTGTTTTTTTGCGAAACTTAACTGGCAGGGGGTTTATGCTGTTTTATGTATCATCTCATGTAGTTCGGCTAACGGGTTACTTACAACAAAACTAAAACTAAAACAGAAATAAAGAGACCGCTTGAGAGACGTTCGCCTAAATATTTGTCTTTGAGCGCCCTCGTGTGGTGAACAATAAAATTACCACAGTGAGATAAAAAAAAAAAAACTACATTTCCTAGCACGACTTCCGTTGTTAGTCGGAAGTAGATTTCATAAATTTTGGTTCCATACGGAAGTGGCACGTACATAATGGTAAGATTAACTGAATGGATTTAAAAGTGTTGTGTCTTTGTCGTTTTCACTTTAAATATATTAATATTACACTTTACAGGGCGCCACGTTGTTTCTAGTGATTAACTGTCAGACTTTCTAGTAACTGCGATAAATAGTGAAGCTACTATTTTTACACTGTAGTTCGTACATAATTCACCCATATTAAGATAGTTATTTGTCCGCTTACATTGATTTATTCAACTTCAATATTATACATTTGTTCATTTCTTTATGACCGCTGTTGAATGCATAATTTGCTCTGCCACAGAGATTCGGGCATTTAGTAGATAGCCAATTGAGTGCAGGGATGACGTCAAAACGTTACCTCGAGATCTGCTGGACACCTATGGGGTTTTTATAATGTTTTTGTTTGTTGTTTTCTATTTAGGGGGGAAATACGGTCTGTAACGTTTGAAGTTGTTATGTTTATTTAAATATATATATATTTCTATTAAGTTACTAAATAAGTACTTGTGGCGTGTGAGTGTGTGCAGTTTACGTTATTGATTAGAGAAAAACGTTCAATTATATATAACAAAAACCCTTCAAGTATCTTCAAGTTATATTTACCACAGTGTCAGACCTTATTTTAATTAATATTAATCTTTTGTCTTTTGACTTCATCTCTGGACCACTTAATTTTTGCTAGATAAATTTGAGTTATCATTTGTTTCTCAGTTTGGATTATGGAGAACATTACAAATCCTAAATGTTAAATCCTCAAAATGTTATGTTTGTTTTATATATTGACATATTAGAAAAGTGAGACTTTGAACCCTAAAAACTATTTTTTTTTTTTCAGGCAACTGGAGCAGATCAAGCTGTTGGCTTTGGTCTTGTTGGCTTTAGTCTGTTACTGTTCTCATATTACACTATTTGGGTCATAGTCTTGGTATGTTTTTTTTTTTTTTTTTCTTAAGACATGATTTTTTTCATATGTTACTGAACAAATATTAAAATTATCAAACATTGATGCAAACTCTTCTGCCCTTGTTCCAGCCTTTCGTAGACAGTGACCATGTGATCCACAGCTATTTTCTTCCACGAGAATATTCAGTCATACTTCCTGGAGTCGCAGCATTAATCCTCTTACTATTTGTTGGTAAGTAAAGCAAGCAATATGTCACAACCATGTTAATTACTCATGCCTCAGGACATACTAGACATACGAGTGAATGAGACGTAACCATTAAATCTTTATTATTATATTATTTATATTATTATATTTCTCTGTTTAATCTTGTGATCAAATTTACCCTCATTTTTTCAGGCACTTTCATAGGAGTCGTAACATGGAAGAATCGAAAGCCTAAGAAAATGGTTTAGGACCCTTCATGTTGCTGTGATTGATCTGGTCAGAAGAACGAACTGTGTTGATTTCACTCATGTACCACTTCCTGTACACAGCCACGTGAAATGCTCTCCTGGATTCCAGTCATGTTCATGTGTTTGGTAAAATAAAAATAGAGTTCATTTTAGTAGCCAAAAGCAGTATTGAACATTTAATTAAACAGTAGTTTAATTGAGCTTTGTACATCCCGTCTCCACAACCTTGACTTTAGACCACACTGGTTGTGAGATGTTCAGCTTTGGAGATTAATGTCCATAATCAGGAAGTTAAAGGGAAATAATACATCATACAATACATACATCATACAATACATCATAATTTCGTTATCTAAGACAACGGGCTAGATATGTATGTACTTTATATCTGGATGGCTTCTAAATGGAATTTCAACTGTTCTCTTATGTTGTAAATAAACATATTTATAAAGTAGAGTGCTTGCTTCTTGCAGCAAAATAATTTAGTACAATAATCTAAAAAGAATGAGAAAGAGAACTTTCTGTAAAACCATACACAATCCCACATAAAAATAATAAAATATGCAACATTTAGTACAATGTCATGTGTTTGTTTCTCTCACCCATTTTATATTTATTACTTTATCTATTTTTTATCTATCGATATATCTATAAAACTCATACAATGCGTGTCATATATCATAAACTATTGTATGAGATTGATTTATTTCTCGACAGGTGACATTACTCTGTATTTTGTATAGTGGGCTACTGGGCTATATTATATATAATATAAATGTATATTTAAAACATATGGACCTATCAATGTTGCACTTTATATTCATATTTACTATTCAGTGTTGTCTATACTCTGTCAGTTTGTAGTTGTGCTGTATGTATTCAGTAACTGTGTTTGCTGTTGTGGTTGTGGGATGGGCCGCTGCAGTGATGAGAGAATGATCGAGCGCGAGCAGCGGCTCATCACACACACACACACACACACACTGGCCGTGTCATGTCACGCAGGGCAGAACCAATGCTCTGATCTTCACGGACGACGACATGTATTAGTGACCACATTATAAATCGCACGGAGGTGAGTACATAATATTTTTATTTATTAGACTATCATATTCCTTTTTATCGAAGTGAAAGTAAACTCAAGTTCAACAAACGTCTTCCCGTTTTAAAATGTTCTGTTTGTTAAAATGTACATCAAATAGGCTACAAACCACGTCGGATTCACAATTTTATAAATCTAAAACTTTATTTCGGACTTGGTTTTCTCTTACTTCTGTCCTTCATACGAGGATCTGATGACAGAGGTTTTTTAAGCCACAGACCGAGGGAGGAAAAACCTGAAACGAGATTGGAAAATTGAATTTCTTCATACAGAACATCTGATTACCATTTCTGGAGACAAATAAACCTCTGATTGAAAATTTCTCTGGCATTCAGTTGACAGTTGACTCAACTGAGGCAAAATTCTCTACAGTGGTTAGTAACTGTGATTTCCTTGCGTGCAAACAAAATACTGATGTCTTTAAAGAGTAGTAATGGGATGCTAGATTTGTGCTGTGACCCACTGCAGAGGCTCGTTTGTTATCCCATGATGATGGTGCAGTCAATAGGCTACTAAAGACGGATTTCAAATCATTTGATATTTTCCTGTCTGAGTGACTGTACATTAAGAACTCCGAGACACTTGAATAGAAACAGATTTTGACTTGTTTGTCTGTTGTCAGGGAGACAGAATTCTACCAGTTTCAAGATGATGACAAATCCTTGCCATTAAATCATGAGTATAGAGTGCGTAACAACTTCTCACTTTATTATTATTATTTATATAAAACATACATATATTCAACTATTTTTTAAAGTTTAGTTTTGTATATAAAAATCAATAGGCTACTGATAAAACGACTCAGTGATCAGTCAGTTAACAAACCTTACATCTGTCTGCATGTGGTTTCTACTAAGGCTTTGCAAGAACTAAATGGCTATTGTATGTTGTAGATGGAGATGTCAGGGCCAAGTGTAAGCCGACATGGTCGAACAGTGAAGAGGAAACGGTGGGGTGGACTGAGGCAGCAATTGAAACTGCTGGGTCTGTTTGAGATCGACCAGCAGCATGAGTTCTACAGTCTCACCTGTATGATGAAGGAAGGGCTGTCTGCCGCTGTGCAGAACAACCCTTTACGTGTGAGTATTCCCGTGTTTATGAACCTACATCCCATCCAGTCCCTATTGAATATCACTTTTCCATTTTCAGGTAGCCTAAAGATTACAGAGGGGAAAATGCAGTCAGAGCAAGAGTGGTGTTGCCCTGGGGTCCATATAATATATATAAAACAGAATTTACTTAAAAAAAATAAAATAAAAAATAAATCTGACTATTCACAAAGCTATTTTAAAGCTTCACCAAGAAAATCTGGCCTTTTATTGGGGGGAAGAAACCCCTTAATTTAGAGTTATTTTAGATTTTCTTTATTGTTTTAATTGTGTCTTTATTAATCTAATAAATTAATAATTAACTAGTGTTAGCATATCCACCACTCAAACTGCTATGAATAAATGTATATGGACAGAGATGATTGTAATCAAACAGGTTTGGAATCATGAAATCAAAATCAAAAACCAAGTGAACAGTAATCAAGAGAAGCTGAAATGTTAAAGCTAAAATCAGCGGCTTCTTGTTAGCCAAGAATAAGAGTCCATGTAGAATGCAGATGGTTAAGTAAATAATAATCATAAGTATAATATCTGAGCTTTGCTGTATTTTAGATGAACAAGATACTTTTCCCGTCTGAACTTGAATGCAAGCATTTTTATGTTGTAAACCATTTTATAAAAGGAATAAGACACTCAATCACTTGCTATATTGTGAATATAGTCATGGTTAAAGCGCATCTATTTATCATAGTTAATGTTAATCTGAACATTTACTAATATATATTTTTTTAAAGTCAAAAGTATCTGTTAACATTTGTTAATGCACATGACATTTTGTATGAATTGTTTGTTCATGTTAGTTAATGCATTTACTAAGGTTAACAAATAAGACCTTATTGTAAAGTGTCCCCTTGTTTTGTAGTGTGGTGGCACTCATAGTCATGTGCTCGATCGCTAACAAACACACAGACACAGATGATGTTGCAGACCCCATACTCCATTGAATCCAGTCTGCCTATGCAGCAGTATGACTCATGAATGTGCTGCCTGTTGTCCAGGGCTTAAAGCATCTCTCTCGCGCAGTTAAACAACAAAAAGAAAAAAACACTGGTACTACTAAAATATGAATACTCATCATTACTGATCATATATTTTGTTTTTAGGATGAGCTGTGTGAAGATGACTACAATTTTGAGTTTACTCAAATCCATAAGGTACATGTAGATGAATGGAAAAAGCGGACACTGCTTACTATAATTTTAGCTTCTTTTTTTTTTTTGCTTTACTGCACAAAATGTGACATAATAACTAAGCAGCTGTTTAGCGTTGGCTTGTTTTGCTTTAATTATACATAAGAAGATATGTATAATTTCTACTGAATCTCATCAGTTGTGTTTGTGTCTGTGTGAAGGACTTCAGGATGGATACGTATGCTGGGCCGGTGTTTTCCAGTCTGCGGCGCTCCCTGGGGATGACAGAGAAGGAATACCAGCAGTCCCTCTCTTCCGAAGGCTGCTACCTGCAATTTATCAGCAATTCTAAGAGCAAGGCAGACTTCTTTGTAACGTAAGTCAGCATAAATGTTTCGCTTGCAGGAGCATAAGCAACAGAGACAGCATAAAGACAGACTGCTTATAGAGGAATTAATGTAAGAAATCACATCGATAGAGGTACTGCATTGGTGTGTATACTGTATATATACAGTGCTGTGATGAGATTAACATTTTGAGCTTTCTATTCACCAAAGAACCCTCAGAATAATGTATCATGGTTTCCACAGACAGACTGTGTTAAGCAGCTGTTTCAACACGCAGTAAATCAGCATACTACAATTATTTCTGTAGGATCATGTGACACTGAAGACTGAAGTAATGATGCTGAAAATTCAGCTTTGCTGTTACAGGATTAAATTACATTTTAAAAAGTATTAGAATAGAAAATGGCTATTTCACAAATTTACTTTTGTAATTTTTTTTTTAACAAAATTACTGTATTTTTGATCAAGTAATACAGTACAATGTTGAACATAAAGAGACGGGTCAGTTTAAAAAAAAACCCTCTCTGGATCTGTAATTAAACTTTGTAATATCAATATGTGTGTGTTTGATATCAAACCAAATGTCATTTAACACACATTTGTCTCTCCTCTTACCAGTAATGACAAGCGGTTCTTCTTAAAGACACAGAGTAAACAAGAAGTGCGATTTCTCTTGACTAACTTGAGAATCTACATGGAACATCTGGAGAAGTATCCACACTCTCTGCTCGTCAAATTTTTGGGTGAGAAGCTGGCAGCTGGTAAATTGACTTTAGCAAATGTTACTGGGCAAATATTTTATATAGTTCATTCATATGCATTATAAAATTGAGGCGATAGACTTAAAACCCTAAATTCTGATCTTTATATCGCGTCCGTTTAAGAAATGGTCATGCTTTATTCTTAAACAGGTGTTCACAGAATTAAAATTGCACATCAGAGGATGGTAATTATTTCATTTATTAAATATCTTTAATTTACTGTCAATATTACTTATTATCTTATGGACCCAGTGGTACATGTTATTAAACTCTATTGGTTTCCTGTGTGCAGAAGTACTTTATTGTGATGCAAAGTGTATTTTACCCTGATGACAGAATCGCTGCAAGGTAAGGCTTGCTGTGTGTTATAAATGGAAATGGTGTTATCGCTCTGTCCATTATAAGTCCTGTAAATATTTAATGTTCCTCATCTCCCCATCACATATGGAACTTTACTTTTGACCTACTGTAATCCACAGCCTTGCATTAATTGGTCATTAAATTGCATTGCCCTTTAGGTGTTACTTTTGGCTTGCACTTATAGTAAGAATAATGATCTAATCCATTACTCCTCCTCCTAGCTTTACATTCATCCTTCACTCTCTCAATGTTTAAGGTATGATATAAAGGGCTGTGAGATGAGCCGGTGGACAGACCCATCCCCTGAAGGCAGCCAGATCATTGTTGTTTTAAAAGATCTTAATTTTGAAGGACAGTTCATTCAGTTAGGTAAGGTCAGTTCCTTGTTGGCAAAGGATATGTGATGTAGACTTCATCTGCACCATTACATTCAATCTTATAATAGCTCCTTGTTCATATGACAGATCAACAGCGTCCTTGGCTCCTGCGTCAGGTGGAGATCGACACAGCCTTTCTTCAGACACTCAATGTGTTAGACTACAGCCTCCTGCTGGCCCATCAGCCCCTGCACCAGGATGAACTCAGCGAGAATCTCTCTTTGGGAACACTCATCATGCGTACCAAAAAGTGAGCATAGTAAAGTTTAGTATACCATGCATATAGTCATCCATAAACAACCACAGACATTTACAAAGATGTTTTGAAGGAAGGTCTGCTTGTGTATATTCTGTACATATTTCAAATGATCCTAGTAAATTAGATCTAAATGACCTAAATCTAAATGTCAGGCAAGTTAATGTACACTATTACTATTCCCATAAACAGCCAAGGTGTGACCGTGTTTTGAAAAGCGAAGGTTAATGTATAGTGAATGGAAACTTTAAACTTATTATTTAAAATCAATATTTTTATTCATAATTGTGTCCTCAATGGTGTACAAATACCTCTGCTAACAATGCACGTACTTCAGAAAATATAAGGAATAAAGAAGGCATAACTCCTATTACAGTAGTTCATGTTTTTCACGGTCAGTAATTCATACTGTAACATTCGTTTGTTCGTTGTGTCAAGTTGAAGTTTGTTTGAAATAACAAAGCTGTTCAACCGAAGGACCACTCAACAAAGTGCTATTAGAAGACATCCTGTCATAGCTTTTTGGTACATAATGGCTACCGTAAATGCAACACGCATTTGAAAAAGCGAGGTGCTGGAGAGCACAATTCGTTTAAATGCAAAATACATTTGCCCCGCTAGATGACAGAAATTCCAACACATTGTCCCTTTAAGGGAGATGCCAGTCTTATATTGTCCTGCAATGTTTTTTTCCCATTTTTTTTTCATTTCGAAGGATGCAAATTTGATTAATTTCAGGAAAGTATCTATTTCATTCCAAAGTAAGAAATAAATTACAGTAATTAATGTCTCATAAGGAATAGCAATAGTTATTCTTCAATGATGTATACAGCCAATAAATTGAAGCTCTGGAGGGGCCAGGCTTCAAAATGTGAATTTATCTCAACACACTGTGATTACTTAAAATTGTAGTAATCTCAATTATAGTAAGTCTATAGGTTTGTGTAGTTTGGTTTTCAAAATCTATTCTTGACACAGTCAGACGCTACACAGATGCTTACCACTATCCCACATATATATTCAACTGAATGAACTTAATTTTGAAGGACAAAGTAAAATTGTCCTTAAGACTGTAAGACTGTAGTAAGACTGATGTGCACACATATGATAGAGATAAACTTTATATGATTAAGAATACTGATGTTTGATTACATGCTTCCATTGTTGTCATGGTTTACAAACAATACTTACTTCTGCTGCATCGTATCTCTGTTTTTTCTTGACTGTGAATGTTCATGTTCACATCTGTTTCCAGATCCTTTTTCAAATGCCCAATAGCCGGCAGGCATGTAGAAAAATAATATTTAGAATTAATGTAATTTTTAAAATAATGTCTCAAAGACATAACACAAACTAAATTACTACACTATAATAGCCTACCATACTACCATTCCGTCATTCATTAAATATCATCTCATATACAATATATTATAAAAACAAAATCATTTACGCTACTCATTTTGATTTCCTTTGAAACCTTTATGACTTTGTTTCTTCCATAGAAACCAAAGCACATATTTAAAGCAGAATGCCCAGCTGCTTTTCCATACAATGAAAGTGAACAGTGATCACGGACTGTCAAGCTTGTCAATAAACAACTTAAATTTTAATAGTTATCACATGACTTCAATATGGGCTACTTTTATGGGTTTTTGGTCCCCATTCACTTACATTGCATGGAGAAGAGCAACGTGAATAGTTTTGTCTATGTTTGTGTTCCTTTAAAAGCATGAAAAATTCAGGTGAAAAAATCTGCTGCAGAAAAACCAAGAGCTTCAATTGAGAAATAAGCGACAGCCAAATATTTTGATCAAATGTTAATCATTGAGTGGGGTAATGTTCTTTGTTCTATTCTCTGTTCCTCTCTGACTGGTTGTTAGGTCAGTGAATGCAGCATCCAGTCCTTCACATGCTGCAGAGGAAGACTCCGCACTCTCCGCAGGGTTAAATTGTGCAACAACACAGTGTCAGACAACAGAAATGCACAGTGGCAATGGAGGAATGGACAGTACAAGCCTTGAGGGAGACAAAATTGAGCAAACCAGTTGGATGGGAACAGAGTCAGCCAATCTACAAGAGTTGCAGGCCCAGAACCGGAGACTGCTTCCCAACATCAAGAACCCGCTTCATGTCATTGATGGATCAGAGCATCGTTACTTCATTGGAATTATTGACATCTTCACTGTTTATGGTTTCAAAAAGAGGCTTGAGCATTGGTGGAAAAGACTGAGATACCCACAGCAAACATTCTCCACAGTCAGTCCTCCAGCTTACTGTCACAGGCTGTGCCAGTGGGTTCAGGACCATACCAAATAAAATAAGACCGCTTGGAAAATAGAAGGCAGCTTTTAAGTTAACCATTTTGAAGTATCTGTTAATGAATAGCTTTGTTTAAATACATACGTTTGCTAATGAAAGTACTTGTTTAAACACTGTTCTTGCAGAAAATGCAAAAGTTAAAAGTTGTATTCATTTACAATTAGACGCGCAAGTAATGGTGCAGTGACCATTGTATAATGCAGAAGATACATAGGCATGAAAACATGAATATGTTTAATGAATTGTGTTAAACTGATTCATTGAAAAGTACATTTTGACCACTTAATAACTCACTGCTCAGAAAGAAAGGATTTTGAGAGTCAACTAGATGGTAAAGTTCATAGACAAACTTTAAGTTGGCTTGAAAAAGCCTAGCCAGAAAGTTTTAAAAAGTTTAAAACTGTTGTAGCATGGTTTAAAACGATTTATCATGTTTCTATGGCTAACACATTGCTAGCATGATTTAGTATGTTTTAACGTGACCATAGATGGATAGAGAAAGAAAGATTAGAGATAGAAAGACATAAAAAAGAAAGTTAGAAGAAAGAAAGATTAGTTAGAAAGAAAGATTAGAAAGAAAGTTTAGAAAGAAAGAAAGATTAGTAAGAAAAAAAGATTAGTTAAGAAAAAAAGAAAGAAAGAAAACAAGAAATATTAGTTAGAAATAAAACGATTAGTTAGAAAGAAAGGTAGATTAGTTAGAGAGAAATAAATGTTAGAAAGAAAGATTATAGATGGATGGCTATATAAATAGGCCTATATGAAGTTTATTAGTGCAGCGAATGGTAGTTTAATTGAGTCTAAGGATTCAGGGAGTTTAGATTTGCGTTTTTGTGTTATGCACTACTAGGCCACCGTAGCCTTGGCTCAATTTGAACATTCTGCAATGGAAGTCTACAGGATTTTTAATATTAATTTTTAAGAAAACTGAAAGTCAAAGCAATCAAAGATATAGCACACAGAGTCAGAACAGTCTGAAGGTCTGAGCTGAGTTTGGTAGTCGTAGCTTTAATGGTCTAGGAGGAGGCACTGTCTAAAATTTGTCTCAAAAGAAGAATAATAAGTTTACATACAATATCAGTAAGTTGGCTTTTCTAAGGCAACTTAATTATACATAGGCCTATCTAACTTAGAACTTATCAACAGCAGCAGGGTCCCATATTTTCCACATCTGTTATGTGAAGCTACATAAGTGGGCATTCGAATGTTTTTCTTTCCTCAAAATTATGCAGTATATAATAAAATAATGTATAAGATCAGTATCTTATATACTTTAAAGGTTTAGTTAGCCTAGATATCAAACTTTATGCGATTGAAGCCCATCTTGAACAGGTGAGATATCATGTGTTGTGCAATTTGTCAGCAAATCATGAAGTGTTGGATTTATATCCCTGGAGCTAGCAGTTTTAATTTTATTAGGTATTCTGTCTTACAGTATACTGTAAGTGAGATAAATACTTTTGAATTGCAAATTGTATGGCTTCAACTAAAATAAATGTTACAGCATGCATCATGCTTAAATGTGAATGAATCATGAATCACTAACATCCCAAAAGGTCAATGAAAGGCCTGTGTTTTTTGTTTTTGTTTTTAACAAAGGTCCGATAACCGATTTGACGTGGCCACAGAAAACATTTTTTTTTGTATTTATTTTTTCATAAAAAAAATAGGCTACTTTTTAAAGAATTTAATTTAGTTAAAATACTCAATATACTGTGTTCAAAATAACTAAAATAATAAAGGGGTTAAAGCAGGCCGTGTAGAGGATGGCTGATGTAACCGATGGTAAGATCATTAACCTCCAGGTTGCACAGTCGATTCAGCTTCATCCTGCACAGTCGATCCTGTTGCAGGGACAACCAACAAGCTGATGTTCCTGAAACGCACACAGTGAAAACGCTGACACTATGGATTTCAATGTCAAGAAACTAGCGTCGGATGCAGGCGTCTTCTTCACTCGTGCTGTCCAGGTATGAAATGACCCAGTGCTTTCTGTTTACTTTTACGGGAGTTGCGTTCAGCTATAAGTGACGTGCGTATAATTCAGTAGGATGGATGAACACAGCAGCGGGCTCGAGTGAATGAACGGGATGAACAGCTTCGCTCTGTTGGCCTTTATGGAGGCATTCAGACACGTCACTTTCTGTAAATTCTAATTTATCTGTCATTGTTCAAGCGAACAATCCTTGTGTCATTTTATGATGATCTGTATTTTCCTCTCCATTGTAAGCCGATAGACGCAAGCCAAGCCCGTATCCATTATTAATGATGGCTGTTCATGTGACAGTCACAGGCTGAATTCTCGCTTACAGAGTATTCACTGTTCACTAGAGACCAGTTAATTGAATTTATTTTTAAGATGCATGTTTAAACGTGCTTATGTTATAATTTTTCTAAAAATAAATAAATAAATATAGGCTATATATATATATATATATGACAATAAACAAAGAAAATAAAACGTTTAAAGTGACAGTTCACCCAAAAATTGAAAACATTCATCATTTACTCACCCTCATGTTGTTCTAAACCCCTATGACTTTGGTTAATCCGCTGAACACAAAATATGGTTTGCTACTCTTCATGCTAGGTTCCCCCATAAAATGAAAGAGAGAACTGTTCAATTGGACGGCTCCAAAAATGAGAAAAATGCTATCATTTTCATTGTGTCTGTACATCACACAAAGCTGCTTATCACTCATTTTATGGTACTTTTTTTCAATTATTATTATTTTTAAACAGTATTTAATTGCTGAAAGGAACATCTTAAAGGTTTTGGAACAACATCAGAGAGATCATTTTAATAGACCTTCTTGTATGCAGAGCACTGAATGATGTCTGGCCAGCTGGTGTGTATGTGTGACTGAATCTGTTTCCATGATGTGGGTGATTTGGCTTAAAAAAGTTTTGTTTTATTTTTTGTTCATTACAATATCTGTTATTTATTTTGCAGGCTGAAACTGTCTGTATGTTGTGACAGATATTTTCAGTAAAATGGATTCATTATTTCTGAAGAATACACCTTGTATAAGTCTATTTTCACACAAAAAGAAAAGAAAATTAAAGTCAGCATGAAATTTGCTTTTTAACAATTCATCATCGCGAGTTCTCACACACCAAAAACAAATGTCTTCATAATCTCTAATAAAAATCTGTAAATGTACTTCCCCTCTGGAATAGCCTTCCCTGACAGTGAGCTGAATTGAATGCCAATTTTTTCTAAAACCATTTAATTCCCAGTGGGGATTTAATACCCAGTCATGCCTCCTATTTTTCTCATTCTGTTTCACTTGAAAATATGCCACAAGTTGGTCGCAGCTTCCAGTTCACACGGGCTTAATACAAAATGCAAGAATTTTATTTAATTGATAATTAACTGATAACCAATATGTGATGATCCTAAGACATGTATATAGATAAAATTAGTCATCATGAAAATGACATGCATTCCAAGCTGTAAATGTAGACGGAATCCTTCATGCTGAGTCGCAGCGTGTAAATGTGATTTATGTCTTTTTTTTCTCTGAATTTAATGCTCAGTCAGCAGGGGTCTTCCCTGTGTGAGAGTGAAATATCAAACACCGGCATTATTATTTTTTTCACCTTGTCAGAAGAAACCTTTACTGCAGGTCCATTGATATTCCAGGAGAGCCAGAGAGCATTTGGTCAACTGTTTGGTCCGCTACTGATTTTCAACAATGATTGAGGTTTTAGCTTCCATATCTGGATATTAAGTCAATATAATCTGCAAAGGCCCACACAAACCCGTGCCAGACAATACTTTTCTGACGCTCTTCCATTTTAGTCGTTATTCTTGTTAACACTGTTTGCCGTCCAGAGACCAGATGGAGGGGGTGGCCCCATCCCTATCAGCCAATCACCTTAAAGCATCCCTGCTTAACCAGTCACTGCTGCTGTACCTGTCAGGGATTTATTTAGGAGCAGATCATTATCACTGAAAGCCACAGATTTCTCATTGAGTTACTGCAATCAGAGCCAGTGCACATGAGCTGTAGATTACTGCCTATATGTTAGGCCTGCTCTCAGAGAACAGTTTTTTTGCAATGTATGATTGTGTTGGCCTTTTTTGACCTGTTATTTTTTGATAGAAAGAAAGTCAGAATGCCAACAAATCATGTGAATAACTGTAAGAGTTCTTCTCCCTTTCTTGCTGACAATATTCGGTCTTTGAAGAGTACAAGAATGCTCTGATATGAACGTCTGGTTGGTTGAAAGTCTGAATTGTTTCGTGTTTTCTTCAGTACACAGAGGAGAAGCTTGGCCAGGCAGAAAAGACTGAGTTAGATGCGCATCTGGAGAACCTGATCGCTCGAGCAGACTGCACCAAAAACTGGACCGAAAAGATCTTCAGACAGACCGAGGTGCTGCTTCAACCCAACCCAAGTAAGAATCTGGACATTTAATGTTTAAAATTTTGGTTCATATGCCTACGCCCCTGTATTACATTTTCTTAAAGAAGATATTTTGTTAGATGGTTTTAAATGTGTGGCCTTAAATCTGTTGGAAAATCTCTCATGTTGTTGACATTTCCCATTAACATGATGAACATGAACATGTTTGTTGGCTTACTTTAGTTTCAGTTTACTTTAATGTATCCATTTGGTTGATTACACCATGTATCTGCAAAAAAAAAAAAAAAAAAAAAACCTTTTAATTTGAGAAATCAAATGTCTGCTTAATTCCTGTACAGCCAGCCAGTCAAATTATATAATGCCTGACAACCATCTTAAAACAGCAATGGTTCTCAGGTGTCACCATGTCAGGTGGTTTCCACATCACGTTTTGTGAATGCAATGTTTCACAAGGGAGCTGAGATGGACATCAAACTGGCATAGCGCTTAAATCTGAGCAGTTAGCAGTTTATGGTCAGTGTGCTGCAGGTTACTGCAGCGGGGCATTTCCTGTCATAAGTGTACTGGAAGGCACTTTGGATAAAATTGTCTGCTAAATTACTTGTTTCCTAACTACTGTTCAATTTTTTTTTTAATCAATAATTTTATTCAGCAATGTCACATTAAATGTATCAAAGGTGACGGCAAAGACTTCTACATTCTTACCAACAAATTCTGTTTCAAGTAAATACTGTTCTTTTGAACTTTATATTCTTCAAAAGTCACACTTTCCACAAAAATATTAGACCGCACAACTGTTTTTAACATTGATAATAATAAGAATTGTTTCTTGTGCTCCAAATCAGCACATCGGAACGATTTCTTTGGTGAACATAAATGAGCATACATTAAACACCTTACCCACCCCAAAATTGTATATCTCTAAATTTAGTTTTTATGTCGGCAGCAAACAACGGAGTAAACAACAAAAAATATGATAAGGCCAATGGTTTCAGATGATTTAGAACTCAATTTTGACTTTAGTACCTTGCAGTATTTAAGTTTTTTTTAAAGTAATTGCAAGAGGTTCAGAAGACCTAGTGATTGTGTACTAGTAAGAACACTAACCTGTTCTTTCTAACTTTCTCCATGCTCCAGTTGACCAAACTGGTAAGTCTTGTCTCTACTCCACATGGCCTGTGCTTTAGATGACCAGTTTAATTCCCAATTAATGGGAATTAAACTGGTCATCTAAAGTATAGACCATCCCCCCAATTAATGATGTTTAGTTTTTTAGACACAATGTGTGGATTTCACTCTTCTCACTATGCCTTTGTCATGCTAGTTTGTTTGAAAAAGGAGGATGAATCTTGTGGTTTTAGCCAGACACAAGCTCAAGCTTGTTATTCAGTCATCTGAATATCTTAACCAGATCTGGTTATCAAATCTGAATAATAAACTGACTGAATAAAGCACGATGTCCATCTTACTGATGTGAATCTCTGTTTAGGTGCCCGTATTGAAGAGTTCTTCTATGAGAAATTAGACCGAAAGATCCCATCCAGAACCACCAATGCAGAGCTGCTGGGACAGTATATGCAGGATGCTGCAAAGGAATTTGGACCAGGAACTCCATATGGTTCGTACAACCAACCAGAGTAAAATGAATATAATATAATATTAACCATTTCTCTGTTTTTTTTAAATTATCATTTTGCCTGCATTTATGCCAACTGCATACATTTTGGCACAAATTTGTAGTTTTATTGGAATTTTGCTATTTCACCCCCATTTCCTTTAATAAACCTCTTTTACACTAGGAACACAACATAATTACACTCAGGACCTTAAGAACAAAACTGTACCATTGAAACGTATCAATTTTGAATCACAGGGACATTTAACTGTAAAATGATGCAGTCTTTGCTAATAGGCTTTCATTCTGTTGGCAAGGCTTCAGAATTCAAGAAGATGGTGCCATTTGATCAGGTTTAGCCTATAAAGCAAATGCTTGTTTGCATATGCATACAAACAAATGCATATTATAGAGCAAATACAGTACATTGTAGTTAAAGACGCCTATTATAAAGTGTGACGTTAAAAATGATCTGTTTACCTACTAGAAGCTAGTACATATTAATTAAAAAATATGAAAAAATAATATTATATATATATATATATATATATATATATATATATATATATATATATATATTTATATATTTGGATGCTGTGCCTCATGCCTGACCTTGCCTACGGCACGATGTGAGTCAGGATCACAGCTGCCCAAGTTCTCATCTATTTTTTTCTTCCTGTTTTCCACTGTTTCGCTTAGGACATGACAAAAAAAATGAAACTATGATTTGTTTGATTTTTGACCAGTGATTGTTATATACTATGCTGCATTTTGAAGTAATCTAGCAATGCAAGTCTCCAAATCAAGTTAATGTTTTGCTGCAAGCTTTGTGTCACTAGATGGCGCACTTGCAGAGGTTGTTGGCAAACAGATTTCCTCAGATGCTTTTAGGTTAGATTTTCTTAGTGGTTGTGTATGTCTCTGTGTATGATTCTGTAACCATTTTATATATAACTAGTTACAGATGTATTTTTTTTTCTCAATTATTTTTACGAAATCATAAAATTTGTGTAAAAATGTAAAGGGGTGTAAAGATACCCTCATGTCACGATTCGATGCATATCACGATACCATATCGTAATCTTGCATTGTGAGTTCAGTAAGACATGGTTAAAGGTTAGCAAGAAATGTTGTATTTTATGTGGGTGGAAATGAATAGGCTTGGACTTGCTTCTGGCAATCCAATGCACAGGGCATTGGTGACACCACAATAAAAATATTTGTGATTCTGAAGCTGAAAATACAGAATTATTTTAGACTAATATGCTTGCCTTCTATCAGTGACTAGACATAATTAAAATAATGTAGGCCACGTTTTACTGGTTTTATAAGACATTTGGCATCATCAGGCGACCCACAAATATTGTATTTTACATTATATATACTGTTGTTGTTTAGTTTAATGTAGTACTGAAACTAAAACTATGTAAGCTTGATTTTTTTTTTCTCGCATTTTCATTTTGGGGGAACTCTGGACAGTACAGGTTGCCACTATTCATGATACATATTGTTGCGTTTTTTATTTATTTATTTGCAATATATTGTGACTTGAAATATTGTTACACTCCTAATAATTTAAAATAGTGATGCCTGTTAAATATTTAAATTAATATAATCATGTCACTGCAAGACATGTCCATTTTATAAAAAAAAAATAATAATAATAATCAGGACCACTACCAAAATAAAAATGAATATAGAAACATGAGGAAACAAAAAATAGTTTAATTTACATTGAAGCAGAATCAGTGGTTCATTAGTGATTTATTGAGTTTATGATTGTGACTGAAGAATATTCATTAAGCTGAATGATGAAGATGCCTACATGCCTAACAGATGAGTCAAAGATTGTTATGTCTACATCTGATAATCTTATCACACCATGTTCAACTCCCAGCGAAATGAGTTAAAAATCAAACCAAAGCAAATAACTCGAAGCAATTCCATCAAATGTTCATGGTTCGTTAAACAAGTTAAACAGCTTGAATATGATTTGACAAGAAAACGTTGAAAATGTAAGTGGAATTGTATGTGATGTTATGTTTTGTGATTGTTTACCAGGCAGTACTTTGATCACTGTTGGAGAGTTCCAGAAGAGGTTAGGTGGAGCAGAGCGGGATTTCTTACATACATCAGCCATCAATTTCCTCACACCTCTGAGGAACTTTCTAGAGGGTGACTGGAAAACTATTTCGGTAAGTGGAATTCATAATCTTGACATCAGATGGCTCACTTCCGTCTAGTGTGTTGGCTAACATATATTGGCTGATAAAATCTGTTAGTTACATTCAGATTTTTCTTTGGACAAGTCTCTGTAGAAAATAGTTCATAGGTAGGCCTACTGCTTTTGAATGATAGAATATCCTTTAATAGACAAAAGTTACAATTGTACAGTACCTTTTAGTACACAACTTCAAATGTAATATTGAATAACACACTTGCTGTAGATGAGGCATATGAGAGGAAGAAACTGCGGTATGCTCATCTGGCCACTGAGGCAGAACAGCGAGGATGAAGAGTCCAGGTTTATCCAGCGGAAGTGGGTTGTCGAGGATTTGTGGCACACTCTACAACCCGGTTCCTCTGAGATGTCAGATTCTGTGACCAAGAGTTTCGTCTAAAGATCTTATCTGAAGCAGCGGAAAGGAGCAGCAACTGGCTGTGGTTGAGACGTAAAGATTCTGGCTGGCTGTATGCGGGCCGTCACGCTACGGCTTCGTAGAATTCTTGAAGAACTAAGAGTCTGTTGGTTTATTTGTATAGTTTGCTTAGTAATTACAGTTATTACATTCCTGTGTATATTGCGTGACAGTCTTAGTCAAACGGGTTGAAATCAAACGTACTTCTTTAAAGACTGACAAAAGATTATTTGATTTAAAATGTACTTTAAAGTAAAACATGTTAACTGTTACCCCTCATTTGAACAGAGGTCTGAACTTAAATGTTTGTAATTCATGAATGCTTTGGAACACAGACCTAAGGTTTGCAGATTTGTACAGAAGTGAAAGCACTTAACATGAAAGTTTAAAATTGTAGATGTTTCATTTTACTCTTAGTAAATGTGCTGAACTAAACATTTCTTATTTAATACAAAATATATATTTGACAAAATAATTGCAAAAGTCATATGTCTAACCAAGTTGTGTTCCAAATTTAATGTTGATATCACAAAAAATGATCCCACTTAAAGGTTTTTTAGTATGCAAAAATTTTGACATTGACAGTAGACAGACTAAATGTGTTAAGAAATAATCATAAAATTGTAATTCCTTTAAGTACACTTAAGTTCCCTTTTATTTTATTAATATTGTCTGCATGGACTGTTTAAAAAAAAGTACTTTTGTGATGCGAAGTACAATACAAATACGCTTTCGATACAGTTAAGCACACGTTCTTTTTCTCAAAAATCTGTATGTTTTGTTTTCAGAAAGAGAGAAGACTGCTTGAGAACCGGCGCCTTGACCTAGATGTTTGCAAAGCTCGACTCAAGAAAGCAAAGTCAGCAGAGGCCAAGGCTGCTGTAAGGTTTATTTACACTTATTCAATCATCATCACATACCTCATGTTTATTTTTATGGCCCCTACCACCCACTTATTATCATGAAGCACTTGTGAGCTTTCAATATAGGATTACAATTTCTCAAGGGACAATTCAGAAAGTATGCCATGAATAATCAAGAATATTCATTCTAGCCCACAGCCCAGATCATGAGGTTATCAGTGACGACTATAAGTGCAACGTCTAAACGTGATCGAACAATGTGACCAAACACTGAAAGTTGGATGAAGAAAAAAAAAAACCAGACAGTTAAAGGCACACCGTGTAAAATTTTTCTATCAAAATATCTAAAAAACACTAAAACAATGTTATATATTTTGTTTTGTGTACTTTCATAATCCCAAATGTTTCTAAGAATGTTTAATTCCAGAGAAATAAGCAGTTTTAAGCAGGACACAAACTATGTCCGTGTTATCAATGACATATACCGCGTTAAAGTTTTATTTTGTAGAAACCATGGAAATAAGTCGCTTTACTATATTGTGTTTTATTAGACAGGTGAGCAACTATTTGGATACATTCATGGACCGAAAACAAATCGTTGTTATAAAAATCAACACAGTTCGTCTTTTTGTTTAAATCTGTTTTTCTTTTTTTATATCGCGAGTACCATATTTACCATGCCTAATATCGATCTAGCTCAATGCAGTGTGCAACAAGTGTCTGATATAGTAACCGCGGAGTAGTAACCGCTGAGTGAACGCACAGAGTCGCATTAAAACAACTTAAATATACTCAAATGTATCTAATATGATAAAAAAAGAGTTTCCCCACATATGCATGACCGGAAGAAGGGAAAGCGATCTGCGACATTAAAGCTTCACTGCTCTCAAGGTGTGTGTTGTGCTTGTCTCCCATTAGCAATCGCTCCAGCGGCCTCGTTCCCCTCAACGGCTTTCGTAACGTTAATAAATCTTTATTACATTACTGGTTATCCATGAATATGATTTGAAAGTCAAGTCTGTGAAATCAAGGTGTCATTAAGCTAAGCCTTTGTTTTGAATAGACGAATCCGGCGAAACTACCGGAAGTAAGCGGGGCGCCATTACTGAGCTGTTGCTGGGTCGCTGCTGGGTTGCGCCATTGCCTACTATTGTTTTAGTTGCAACTTGCGTCCACTGGAATAAACAGCCTGCGATTTACGACTGTCACTAACGTTACAACCTTATCCCTTGTATAATGTCGAGTGGGTAAACAGTTTCCGTTATAAATTGTTTCAATGGTGGCAGTAAAATTTCAATTTTGAAGAGAAAACACTGTGAATACCCTGGGTTGACTGCCCCTGTCTGGTGCCGTACGGTTTACACAGATTTCCTGGGCGAGTACAAGACGTGGACATTCACGTATAATAACAATTATTTAATGACATAAGTAAAAAAAAATATAATAAATATGTGATATAGTGATCAGCAAAATCTCCTCTCTTGCTATTTTTTCTATTCAATTAATATGCTATGGTCATTAAATGGCTTTCCTGAGCTAAATGTAACGTTATGTGACATAATTGTTTTCCTGCTGTTATATTGACCTCTTTCCATGGTTTAAAAACACTAATTGGTCGATATTATGTATACTTTCTAGCTGTAACGTTACCTTACCCTTGCCTGTTGCAATGTGAAAATGAGATAAATAATGGTAACAAATGAAAAACATGAATTTGTTTATTTGATTTCATTCATTTTATTTATTTATTGTTGCCAAATAGACGGATCTTTTTATAGTTTCCTCGTTAACAAACGTTAGCCTAGCTAGCTTGCCAAGCTATTTTCATGAATAACGTTAATCTGTAAGATCGTTTGTACCTTCATCTGTGACTGGAGGCCACTGCAGTCACAGATCAAACCAACAAGTCATTCTGCCTGGCTGTAGCTGCCATCGAGGGTGAGTTCGCGTTATCACCGAGGTTTGTTTACATACCGGTGCATATGTCTATGCCTGTGTAACAGCTCAGTAATGGCGTCGCCACAAGATGGCAGCCTACACAGAACGCTCGTCGGATTCGTCTATAAACAACCTCTAGTGGCAAAAAAGTACATAGTGTGCCTTTAAACCACTACATGAACTGATTCCTATTAATCTGTTTACATAGTGGAAGCATTTTTGAATTAATGTATGCATACTGTAAATTAGATTTACATGTGTAAATTCACCTTGACTGGAAAATGAAATAATCTTTAAAAAACCGAACTGCTAAATGTGATGCATGAGGTGATAAAATATGAGGTTTGGGTTTTAAAAAACCCACATTTTTAAAGCCAAACAATGATCAATAGCACTTTACAATAATGTCTCATTTGTTAATGCATTGTACAACATGAACTTACAGCATGTTTTAATTTTTGTAAAGGTTAATAAAATGCAGTCGATCTTGTTAGTTCACAGTGTGCACCAACTACTGTCAGATACAGGTAAATTTAGATTTCTAAAATGTACAATATATTAGTAAATGCAAAAAAATAAAATAAATAAATAATAAGATTAATAATACATTAAAAAAATTATAAAAAAAATAAAATAAGGGCTAATTTGTTAACATTAGTTAACTGCATTAACTAACAATTGTTAACTGATGTTAAAAAATTAGCCCTTATTGTTACTGTTACTATAGGTAATTTTATTCATTAGGCCCCAAAAAAGTGGCCCCTGAGTTCTGTAGTTAGAGTCAACCTGTGGTAAAAGTGGTGCTTCTGGTTTATTCTGTTTACCTCATTAAAATGGTAATTTACAGGGTCAAGATATTCCTTGAGTATAGCATTATATGGAAGCATCATTATCGAATGACCCTTTCATATGTTCTCCTTTCAGTTATGTTTGCTTTTTCTTTTCTTTTTTTTTTTACTTTCACTGAAAGGAATGAGTTTCTTTTCTTTTTTTGACTCTTACTCTGAGGGATGAGTCACCTGCCTTTTCCGTTTCCTTTTCTACATACAGTAGATACTGTTTGCTAAGACACACATTTAGGATGTGATTTTAGTGATTTTCCTCTTGATACATATACTGTTCAAATTTTATTGGGGTTATCTGAGGTCAGGACATTAGACTATGATTACCTCAATAAATCCAAATAAAATCTCTACCTCTATAAAGGACCCTGGTTGTTTGTTCCTTTTGTGTGTATAAGGGAATACAATTATGAATCAGTCAGGGTTTTTTCTTTTACTTTCCAATGGCCTCATACATTTGATTGTGTGCTCTGTGTCGGATCTTTTCCTTTCCATGAATTCACTAACACGTCTCTCTGTTGTCATTTGCACAGTGTGAGGGAGATGTGAGTATCTGAGTTTGTGTGTGTTTTCTCAACTGCCTTTCATCCTTGGCTGGCTCATGCAAGCAGTTACTTAGTTAGGACAGCTTTGATTAACTCTTGAACCACTTCAAATGTTGACTACTGTATATACACTCTTAACCTTTCAAAAGTTAGTCCATCAAAAGGTTAAAAATAAAATGAATCTATGATTAAAAAAAGATGTGTGTATATAAATATATAGTCAGTCCGTCCCAGTCCTGTGACCTGAACCCTATAGAAAATGAGTGGGGTAAACTGAAGAGAAGAAGCACCAACAAGACTCAACTTAATAGTCTTGGGGTCAACCTTTTTATTGCACAGGTAGTTCTAAGTCAGTTTTATCCCCGTTCTATATTATTACACTGTTTTCATTGAAGCGCACATACACATACATCACTCAGGTACAATCTGTGTACTTGATTCAGAGCGGACAAAATGCTAGATCTAACAAGCCGTAACTAATGAAAATAACGTCTCAGTTACTAATGTAACCCTCGTTCCCTGATTCTGAGGGAACGGGAGATGTCACGTCGAACGTGAGTGACTGAAAGGGAACTGTAAAATGTACCCTTCCGCTCAAATATTGGGCTGCAAACATCAGTAACAGTTTTAAAGGGTAACTTGGCAACTATTTCAAAGTAATAAAACCGTTAATAAATAATTTGGATGGTTAAATGGGATAGTTCAAGAAAATTCTGTCATTTGCTAACTAAACAGTTAAATGGACCCATTGACTTCCATAGTATTTTCCAATATATTCCATATATTCCATATTCCAGTATATTCCAAGTCTACAATGGAAGTCAATGGGTCCATTAACTGTTTGGTTACTGACATTCTTCAAAATATCTTTGTGTTTTTGATTTGTTTTGGTGACCATATGCTGTAAATGACTTTGTTGAATGATACATTTATGAAAAGTATGTATCATTCAACAAGTATTGTGTTCAGCAAACTAATAGATGATGATTCATGCCACAGTCAGAAACAATCTTGTCTATTTTGATAAAAATATAATACCATATAATATTTACAAGAGCTTGTCAAGGCGCATGGAGACCAGAGCATTGTGCTCTTCATGATACACAACAGTGCAAAGGTTACAAAGGAAAAACGGCTTTTGTTGTCTTCGTCCCCATTATTGTTTACAATACATTACTTATGCAAAAGACAAATTACAATAATTACTATTTATGGGAAGTAATGTGTTGGATACTTAAACACAGAGTAAAAAGCACAGAAAACAGATTGAGTAACAATAACGAAATACAAATAAATTGTCACGCTTTATATTTTATTTTATCGGGGTTAAGTGATAAAAAAAATCTGCCGCTGCCCTCCTAATTTCCATGTTTTGTGTGTGGGAGAGGTTATAGGCTGGTTTGTCGTGTGTGTGTGTGTTTTTTTACTTTAATTTGAAAATAGTTTTGTTTGCTGGGTTAGTTCATGTGGACGCATGATTCTCTGTAAAACTCTGTTTTCCCCCCTCCACCTGTAGGCTGCGCCTGACTTTCAGGAGACTAGGCCACGCAATTATGTTCTGTCCGCCAGTGCATCTGCGGTAAGGAGGCTGTAGACCCTTAGCATTAGAAGTCTCTCCCCCACACTCCCTCTTCCTTTCTCTCTCTTTCTACATGACCCTTATTTGTATATATTTGCACCAAACCTTTTAAATTTAGATTAGCAGGATGTCCTCCAACAATCTGTTGGTATAACACTGCACTGTTGTTTTGGATGAAAAGCATTAGCTAAAGGGATAAATGAATGAATAAAAGTCTCCCTGATGACACCTAACAGCTTTGAGCTTTCCATCGTCCCATCATCTCTTACTTTTTCATTCCACGCAGTGGGATAGTGAAGTTGGTGATTCATATCTGAGTGACAGAGAAAAGGTTGTATGAACTTGAATCTGAAGTGAAGCCTTAAGTTAAACCCCTCTTAGAGTAGTGTACTTTGAGACATGCAGTAGTTATTGTGTCTCGTCAGCAGCTTAGTGATGGTAGCATCTCTTTTCAAGACTTGTCAAATATGTTAACTCATTGTATAAAAACTAGTCCTGCTTTTTTCTCAGTCAGTGTTGTGCGTTTACCCCAGAAACATTGTCTTATTTACGTCTCCCGTCTTAGTGTTTAGTGAAGTGTGTCTGTGTGCCTTTCCCAGTGTGACTGATTAATGTTGTGTATTCAGTTGAATAGCAATACATAATAGTGGGTTGTAGTTTGTGTGTGTCCTCCTTTTATACATATATTATATACTTTACAGCTCAAAAGTTTGGACACAGCTACTCGCTCTTTACAAATATTCTTAAATGTGAGAAGTCTTTAATCTGTTAACTGTCGCCCCGCCCGCATATATTTGGTTTCAATAAGTATTTAAGAAGCAAATTTAGCTTCAAGCATGTCCAAACTTTTGACTGGTCCTGTATTATAGTTTGCATCTGTTTTTTGTTTTTTTTTCAAGTCATACTGATGTCATGTTATTGCAGAAGTCAAAACATGAAACCCCCTGCGATGAACATTTGCTGTGGAATGTGGGGGAAAAATACCTTGCTTTTATTCATTTACTTTTATTTAACAAAATGTCTGATTACATTAGATGGTCTCTTTTTTGATGTTACTTCAATTTAACCTATACATTTTAGTCAATATTTTTCCCCAGTGGGTCTATATTTGTAAAGTTATGTTGTCATCACTGCTCTTCTCTTGTTGTTATGCTGCATGTTCCAGCTCTGGAGTGAGGAAGTTGATAAAGTGAGTATTGGGCATCTGAAGATTGTCTGTTTTTAGACATGTCTTTGTTCACTGTAGTTCTCATGAAGCAATAAATCGCTGCATATTAATTTATGTAACAAATGTTGTTCGTATCCGTTTATAATGATAGTCTTTTGTATATATTTCCATCTGTACACAAATCTATACATCTGTCAGTCTTACAGAAGAAAATTTGATTTAAGACTTTGCTGAATATATAGATGTATATAAATATAAAGCGGTAGGAATTATAATGTGCTCTGTAAAAATGTTAAGAAGAGTAAAAAAAAGAAAAAGGCAACATGATCATGATTTATGATTGAGTGGATGCATTTTGTATTTGTTATGCTACCTTTTGCCAAAAGAGTCATCCCCCCTCTAAAATAGTGCTTGGTTGGCAAGAAATGTTGCTTTTTATAATTTCATCTTTCTTGTAAATGGGATTTTAGAATATTTACAATTGACATTACATGGACATAGAAATTACATTTTTCGCCTGACCGTCATATAAACAAAGCTCATTTGCTATAAACAATTCAATTTTCTGCTAGGTGCATGTTTCATGTTATTCCTAAATGCATTACAATCACTTACAACTCATGAATGATGTTAAGTGAGGGGGTGGCGAGCGGTTAGAGCGCGTGACAAGCAGATGTTGAGGCATGCGTGACGTGTCATGTGAGAGATGTGTGGGTTGTAGTTAAGAAGTGTGCCCTGTGTTGTGTGCGCTGTCTCCCTATGATTTCCTGTCCTTTCAAAAATGTCAAAAAAAAACCCAAAACAATATTTTAAAGATTCATAAGAAGATGAAAAAAAGTGATTATGTTGCGGAGTACTTTTTTTCTATAAAACAAGACAGAAATTGAAAAAAAGTTGTCTGGACATGACGAACTTGTTTATTGGCTAAAAGAAACAATTAAAAAACAAATCCAAGATGGCTAGACAGATTTGTAGACGGTGGATAATGTGTCCTGCGATTTTTCCTTTTTATTAGGGCCCGAGCACTAACAGTGAGGACCCTATTGAAACTGTTGGGATTATTATTATTTTTTTCTTTTTTTCTGCAAAGTAAGCGCCATTTTCGGGGTCGCAGCATGCTCAACAACTCAACAAATTTGGCACGCATGTCAGGACTGGTGAAAAATTTCGTATTTTGTGGGTTTCGCGAATGGGCGTGGCTAGCGCCACCTAGAAAATTGGAAAAAATTAGCCCCTCGTCCACATTCAACGCAGCTTTAATGTTTGTCTGTGTTTGCTTGTGGCTCCACCAGGCAGAGCATGAGCTGCGCGTGGCTCAGACTGAGTTTGACAGGCAGGCAGAGGTGACACGCCTCCTGCTGGAGGGCATCAGCAGCACACATGTGAGTATTTGCGCTTTTCACACTCACACTACTGTTCATTTTAAACATTGAAAACAGAATAAATTGCAATGGCGGAGTTAGTGAGTTAGTTAGTTATAGTTACACTTCATCCATACATAAAACATAACATTTCCAACTGGCATACATCAGTCATTTTATAATTCTAATAATAGACTGTATACACCTTAGATATGTAAGGGATAAATAAACATTTTAGAATGATTGAATATACTTAATTTTAATTACATTTTGAAAAATATTCATATAGTAAATGGTTATTTTAAATTGTAATAATATTAAATTTTTTAACTGTATTTTTGATCAAATGATTGCAGTCTTGGTGAGCGTAAGAGACAAAAACCTTTAAAAAATCTTACCCCAAACTTTTAATGTGTCTTTCAATTAAGGACAAAGAGACTATTTCAAATACATTTTCTATTGCAGGTGAACCACTTGCGTTGTCTGCATGAATTTGTGGAGGCACAGGCTGCTTATTACGTACAGTGTCACAAGCACATGCAGGACCTTCAGAAAGAGCTGAGCAGGTGAGAACTTCACTGCAAACTGCAAACAACTAACAAACAGTTTGGTAATTGACTTTAGTTCACATTAGTCTATTCTTGTTATGGATAGATGTGACAAAACCCAGGCTTTATCATACCCATTCCCTTTAGGAACTGGTTTCTAGTAAAAAAAAAAAATCACAAAACTTCTCAACTATTTTTTTCTGTTTTTTTTTCTTCTTTTCTTTGTTCTCAGTGCAAACGGAGATACGTGAGTCAATTTTTTTCATCACTCTGAAACTAAAATTTAAAGGGATTGTTAATTCAAAAATGTAAAAATTCTGTCATAATTTACTCACCCTCATGTCATTCCAAACCCTTAAGACTGGTTGTTAATCTTTTTTTTTTTTTTTTTTTTTTTTTTTAATCTGTATTTACCATATGTGATGCATAAGGGCCTAAATAAAATCTATCTGATTTTGAATTTGTGCTTCCAGGTTTCCTAATGCTTTTGCTGTGAATGCCTCCACATCAGGGGTGTCGACAGGCTCTTCTCCCCATTCCATTGCAACTCTACCTGGGCCTTCTTCACCTAGTCATCCCCCAAACCCCTCCAATGCCCTGGAGTCCAGCACCCTGAAGATTGAGGAGGTGAAGCCTCCCGCCACTGGCACTCGCAAGGCCAAAGTGCTGTATGACTATGATGCTGCAGATTCAAGTGAACTTTCCCTTCTCTCTGATGAGGTAGGGCATGATCGAAATTGGTTTTCCCTACTCAACAGTCAATAACATTCATTATATGTGACCCTGGATCACAAAACCAGTCACAAGTAGCATGGGTATATTTGTGGCAATAGCCAACAATACATTGTATGGGTCTTTGAAATTTGATTGATTGAAAACTTTATTGAACAACAATCGACATGAAGTGTTCAAAAGGATAAAAACAAAAGAAAGCCCAAAGGCTTGTTTCCATTGTGGTCCTTCATAGAAGACATTAAAAACTGTGAAGTAAGGGGGCATACAAAATACAAACACAATAAAACAGATAAGAACACAATAAAAAGAACGAAACAAGGGTCAGATTCCCAGTCATTGTACAATTTTTCTTTTATGCCAAAAATCACTAGAATATTAAGTAAAGATCATGTTCCATGAATATATTTGGTAAATTTCCTACCATAAATATATAAAAACATTTATTTTTGTAAATGAATGCAGGACAATCACGAACATAAATGGACAACTTTAAAGGCGATTTTCAATGTTTTGATTTTTTTTTTTGCACCCTCAGTTTCCAGATTTTCAAATATCTCAGCCAAATATTGTCATATCTTAACAAACCATACATCATTGGAAAGCAAAAAAAATGCCTATGTGACTGGTATCGTGCAGATGTCATCGATGGGCACTCAGCAAGGTCATGCCCAGGAGGAAGCCATTCCCCATTTTATGTTTTTATGTTTTAATACTTTTTCTTTGCACATTTGGTAGTGTTTTTTTCTTTTTTATATATAAAATTGTTTCAATTCATTTAAATTGAGTCTTTAAAAAAAGAAGATTTAGACTGTGGTATTTAGTATCGATACCGAGGTATTAGGTTCTGGTATCGTACTGAAGCCAAAATTGTGGTATCAAGCCATCCCTACTCTAATGTTATACTGCCAGTACACAAAGATAGATCAGAGTGACATTACATTAACCAACCATTCAGAAACGTCCTGTTCGAGACTCAAGGCATCACTCCACATGTGTTGTATCAAAACGCCCTTATCATTTAAAGGCATATGCAGTGAAACAGCGTGCTGAAAACTGAGCTGTTTTTGACCAGCATAAATGAGGGTTTTCTTACAATACTAATGAGAATGTTTAATTAAAGTATATAACAAACTTTTCATTTAGACTCTAAAGAATCAAATTAACTTATAATGCCATTTTCATTAATGACCCATTTAATACATATCTGAATGTTTCAGGAGGACGCATTGAAACACAGTCAGCCCTCAGTAAAGTGTCTTCTTGATTTTTCCTTCTCTCTGTTTCTTTCTGTTCTTTTGTAGCTGATTACGGTGTACACGGTGCCCGGAATGGACCCGGACTGGCTTATTGGAGAGCGAGGCAACCAGAAAGGCAAAGTGCCTGTCACATACTTGGAGCTCCTAAGCTAGACGCCACATCTTCTCCACAAATGCAAAGTAACACTCAATTATGCATGAACAAATACTCAAGCACTCCTGAACACTGAATTTACCTAGTTTCTTACTATTTCGTTTTTTTTTTTATACCTAGATTTACATTTAGGTCTGTCTTGTTCTGATGTTATTGTGCAGAAATATGTATTATTATTTTTTATGCCCTGGTTCTGTGTGTATGTTGTTTCATTTGGACACAATCCTGAATAAGGAATTTCTTAAAATAACTGATTTGTGACCGCTAGATTTCTATAAAGTCCCTCAAAGTGAAGAAAACAAACTTAAAAGCTTTGTGTTTGAGCTGGATGGAAATTTGTGTGTGATCATGTTCTGAAGATACTAAACATCTAGAATTTGCTTCTTTGCATGTTGTCTCACTCATCAAGCTTATATGTTGGTCTTGGCGTGGCATATCAGCGTGTTTGATTCCGAAAGAGGCATTTTTGTGTTTTGTAAAAGATTGACAAGATTGTAAAGGTATTAGGTGTGGTTATGATATACAGTATGTACATCATAGTATGTAATAAGATTGAATTTATTTACCCTCATTAGTAGTTATCCACATTCACATCTGCTCAGTCAGCACCTTCGTCTCTGTGTTCTGTGCTTGTTCCAAAAAGCAATGCATATTGAATGGATACAATTTGAATATCTAATAAAGAGAGTTTTAATGGGTCTTGATCTAGATGTTCTTGTCTAATGGGGGTGGTCGTGTCCAATCAGAGCCGGCCCGAGCCTTTTGGGGGCCCTAAGCAGAATTTGATTTGGGGGCCCCTCCCATGACGCGGAGTCACCTTTGTTTGACGATTATTGACACAAATGTCACGCAATAATGATACATTATAAATGAATAGGTTATGTATTAGGCTACAACAAAATTAATACTTAATAAAAAGAAAATAGATGCCTACTTAAATAAAAAAAATTGTAACAGTCTTAAAACTGTCTCAAAACATATAAAAGAAATTATTTGCTAAAATTATGACAAAACTGAGAAACATAACAACAAGCCTGTTTTTGAAAACTAAAAATATTTGGCCTACTATTTCTCAACTGTCTCAATACAGTGTAACTGTCCTCAAAAGCTTTATTATTATTATTATTATTATCGTAAGAGACTTTGTATTACATGACATAATCCAACAAAGTCTGTTACTATAATACCGGTAATGATGTTCTGGCGCTCGTTGTATGTGTGTATGCAATGTGTTTTTCCCCTCGGGTCTTGCCGTAGATGGGTCGTGCGCATGGGCTGCGCACTTGGTAGCCGTTTTAGCTTAAATTGTACCCAGCCTTAATCGTCATTAATGCATTTTTACCAGTAAGAATTCTTTACAATTCTTTACAAGCTTTTTAATTTAAGCAATTTAATTCCTACTAGTAGCAATTACAATTATAGAGCTCTCTAATTAAATTCGTACCAATAACAATTACGATTAGAGAGCTCTTTAATTTGATTTTTACTAGTAAGAATATAATTGCAAAGCTCTTTAATTGAATTGCAGAGCTCTGCAATTGTATTACTAGTAAGAATTACATTAGAGAGCTCTCTAAATCAGTTTTTACTAGTAAGAATTACAATAAGAGAGCTCTTTAATGCAATTATTACTAGCTTTGATTTTTACTAAGATTTGTATTACTAGCTTATTACATTCAAGATTATTAAGTTACCGATGACACAATAAAGTCTCCATTTACAACCAGGTAACGTTGGCCTATAATACCGGTATTGTGTTTTATGCATACGAATGTATTTTTGCTACTTAAAAGTGATCTTAATGTCTTTTGAAAGTAAAAGTTAATAACATTTCAGTAATTCATATAGAGGTAACGTTAATGGAAGAATTGGAAGGAGCGTTTAGTCTAAAACTATTTTCTGTCATTTGTGTTTCTTGCAATGTTTGTGCTTGTAATATCGTTTTATGCAGTGCTCGAATTGAGTCAAGTCTTAATAATTCTTTATCAAGCGGTTTTAATAAATAGTATATATTTATGCATATTATGTTCCTATATGCAGTTTCTATATGCATAAATATATAGACCATTTCACAAGATGTAAACAACACTGGTCCAGAAACACTTCCTGTTTCAGTTTGTAACTGTTTTCTTTATTTCACATGTAAAGAAAACATCTTAAAGATGTATGTTTAACTTTTTTATTCAGTTTTAAATGTTCTGTTGGTTGTATTTTATCCCAGCTTTTATGTGGTGTTAAAAAACTGAAACAGGAAGTGCTTCTGGACAGTGGTGTTTTCATCTTGTGAAATGTTAAAACCGCTTGATAAAGAATTATATAGGCTATATATATAATTATTCTTTTAAATTACTTACTAAAGGTTTGGATTTAGAGGGCAGCAGAATTTTCACAATTTTTCAGCATCATTACTCCAGTCTTCAGTGTCACATGATCCGTCATTTTAATAGTAATATGATGATCTGATGATCAACAAACATTTATGTAATAAAAATGTTTGGGTTTTTTTTAGGATTTTTTATCAATAGAAAGTTCAAAAGAACAGTTTCTATTTGAAATATAATCTTTTGTTACATTATAAATTTCTTTACTGTCACTTTTGATCAATTTAATGCGACCATACTGAATAAAAGTATTAATTTATTTCCCAACATTTTTTTAAAAATACATTCTTAATGACCGCAAGCTTTTCAAATTTATATTTCAGATCTAAAGGATCATGATGAAGACTGGAGAAACGATGGTTTTCAGCTTTGATCACAGAAATAAACAATATTTTATTATATTATTATTTTAAACTGTAATAATATTTCATAAAATTACTGTTTTTACTGTATTTTGCATCAAATCAATGCAGGCTTGGTGAGCAGAAGAGATTTGAACAGTTGAGTACATCCAACAGAATGATTTATTTACAAATGTTGTTTTTAACCTAAAAACAACTGGATGATTAATGTGGATTATGTGACACTGTGGTAATAATGTTTGTTCCAAAAGACTTGATTAAATAGATTAAACTTGTTTATTAGATATTATATGGTGGGGATTTTTCAACTATGTATGCGATTTTTACATTTACGTCCAGTAGGTGGTGGGAAAGCACTCAGTAGGTCAGCAACTATTCAACGACCATGATTTCAGTGAAAAAGGCCGCTTTATTCAGAAACAACAAACAATGCCATGTCAATCGATGTCAATTATTGCTATTTTAAGAGTGAATCCCGCATAACTGCGTATGTAATTCCCAAAACTTTGTGTTTACGTGGCCGATCCTGGCAGCATGAAAAACAAGTTTTATACAAATTCTGAATGGAAATTAGAAAGCACACAACGATCGCTTCTTTTGCTGTTATGCATCTCCGTCGAGATCTCTAGCACTCCCGTAGAAGCAGGACTATTAATAATGGGGAAAAAAGTAACTTAAGCCAAAATGATTCCAATTTACGCAAGGAATACAGAAGCCCCGATATGGTGTGGGTAGATATAAAGTAGAAATATATAAAGAGAGACAATTACCCCTCAAAAAAGTCGGTAAGAAGCTTTCTCTTTCCTACCTCGAGTGGAGGTTTATCTATCTCCATTTTTTAAAAGTTAAAATTAGCTTCAACGGAGCGGCGCCAATCAAACAGTCCTGTCAGTCAACGATGTCATGGGCGGGCGTTTTTTTAAAGCGACATGGCAACTAGCCAACTTAAAAAGAATATATTGTAAATAATCAATTCACGAAATTTACTGTATCCATTGCATACATTTAATCAGATTTGTCATTATTATTTTTCACTAAAATAAAAATATATGAGGGACCCCCCTAATTCTATTTTTCACTTCTTGTCTCGGATCCCCCCAAAATTAAGTTTGTCCAATCTTCTCAAAACTCTGGATTCTGATAGAGGGCCATGAGACTTAAACCTGAGTGCAAAAATGGAGGCTCTAGACCCTTCCAGAGCTGAGATATCGAAACTCAAAAATTCGACCCGAAAAAAAAAAACGACAGTGGTACCCCTTTTGTTTTTTTTGTTTTTTTGGGTGAAAAATTAAGTTTCTCCAATCTTCTCAAAACTCTGGATTCTGAAAGAGGGCCATGAGACTTAAACCTGAGTGCGAAAATGGAGGCTCTAGACCCTTCCAGAGCTGAGATATCGAAACTCAAATTTTCGACCCGAAAAAAAAAAACGACAGTGGTACCCCTTTCGTTTTTTTTTTTCGGGCGAAAAATTAAGTTTCTCCAATCTTCTCAAAACTCTGGATTCTGATAGAGGGCCATGAGACTTAAACCTGAGTGCAAAAATGGAGGCTCTAGACCCTTCCAGAGCTGAGATATCGAAACTCAAAATTTCGACCCGAAAAAAAAAACGACAGTGGTACGTACCCCTTTTGTTTTTTTTGTTTTTTGGGCGAAAAGTTAAGTTTCTCCAATCTTCTCAAAACTCTGGATTCTGATAGAGGGCCATGAGACTTAAACCTGAGTGCAAAAATGGAGGCTCTAGACCCTTCCAGAGCTGAGATATCGAAACTCAGAAATTCGACCCAAAAAAAAAAAACATGACAGTGGTACCCCTTTTGTTTTTTGTTTTTTTTTCGGGCGAAAAATTAAGTTTCTCCAATCTTCTCAAAACTCTGGATTCTGATCGAGGGCCATGAGACTTAAACCTGAGTGCAAAAATTGAGGCTCTAGACCCTTCCAGAGCTGAGATATCGAAACTCAAAAATTCGACCCGAAAAAAAAAACGACAGTGGTACGTACCCCTTTCGTTTTTTTTTCGGGCGAAAAATTAAGTTTCTCCAATCTTCTCAAAACTCTGGATTCTGATAGAGGGCCATGAGACTTAAACCTGAGTGCAAAAATGGAGGCTCTAGACCCTTCCAGAGCTGAGATATTGAAACTCAAAATTTCGACCCGAAAAAAAAACGACTGTGGTACCCCTTTTGTTTTTTTTTTGTTTTTTGGGCGAAAAATTAAGTTTCTCCAATCTTCTCAAAACTCTGGATTCTGATAGAGGGCCATGAGACTTAAACCTGAGTGCAAAAATGGAGGCTCTAGACCCTTCCAGAGCTGAGATATCGAAACTCAAATTTTCGACCCGAAAAAAAAACGACAGTGGTACCCCTTTTGTTTTTTTTTGTTTTTTGGGTGAAAAATTAAGTTTTTCACCCAAAAAATGTCAATTTTTTCGTTTTTTTTTTTTCGGACGAAAAAAAAAAAATGTCAATTTTTTCGTTTTTTTTTTT